TTTCGAGGAGAAATGTCCCCGGAAAGATATACGGTTTGCTCGAATCAAGTGTGTTCCTCGGTTTTCTGTTTAGTGTTTTCTCCCAGGGAACGGAAAAGCTGATGAGAAAATGGAGCAGCAGGTCCATCCTACTACTATGCATGTCAGGATGGGGAATTGCTTCGCTTCTCACTGGCTTTGCTTACAGTATTCCCGATACAACTGTTGTTATAGCCATCTCATTTGTGTTAAGGATATGTCAGGGACTTATGACATATGCAGGCGCTCTTGTACCGGTCGATTTCATCCATGCAAACTTCCCCGAAGATTTTGACATGGTAAACGGGCTCGTGAATATGGGTTACTTTAGTGGGCATGGGGTGGCTGAAGCTGTTGGCTGTATCATCTATGACAAAATGGGATACACAGCAGCCTACGGATTCACTGCGGTCATGGCACTTCTTGCAACAACAAGTTGCTTTTTCTTCATTCCTACAACAAGAACATACTTGTCCACTCAAGATGACATATCGGATGATGATCAAACGATGTTAAAAACAGGATCGAAGAAAAATAAGCTCACAAAGTTATTGATAATTCCAATGATAGCTACAATGCTCATTAATGCAAACTATGGAGTAATTCAAGTACGGATTGTTTATTTTCGCAAACATTTATGCAGACATAATATTATATAACAATTATTAATGATCTCGTCTTCTTATTATATATTTAAACTACATCTCTCACCCCCTCCGTTCCAAAATCCTTTTAGGCAACATTGACGTATTCTTCAGGTCACAGTAACCCCCTTTCTGAAGGAAGAGTTCAACAAGCCTATTTCTTACGGCGGAACAGTTCTGACTCTAGTCTCAGTTGGAATGGCGACTGGGAGCGTTAGTGTAGGCGTTATTCTCCAGAAAAAGATTCTAAACCCCTTGACTGTGATGGGGATTGGTGCCACGTGTATCTTTACTGGACTTCTGGTAACTTTCCCTCCACAATCTTTACCTGCTTTGTATGATCTCAGTCCAATACTGGCATATCCTGGAGTCTTCATAGCTGGTTTCGGGGACCCCATTATTACTATTGCTACCCTTAGAGCCCTCTACGACATCCAGGTATGTGCTTAATAGGGTTCGGACATTTTCAAATTGTCACCACCTTAACATAAATAACTCAGAAGTAAGTAGTGTATTTAGGCTCTGTGCCGCCCGACCTCTATCAAAACATGGGGGCTAGCTATCTAAAAATAGAATTAAATACATCACAACATAGTACATACAAATAATTCATTCTTTTAGCTGCAGAAAAATGGGTTGTTAACCCCGAAAATGGCAACAAGGATAACATCGATATGGATTATAGGATACTGCTCCATGTATTATGCAGGATCTTTCATCGCCGGGACACTAATGGACTACTTTACTTACTCAGGTATGTTGAAAATTTATAAAATGAAAATTAAAATGAATTGAAATGAGGTATTTTTTTACGATTACGTCATGATTAACTAACAACACAAGGAATGTGCGTCAATGTGAACAAAACTACAGGGTGGGCCAAAAGTCAGTGTGCAAACGTTGGCCTTAATAGCTCAGTCACTGAGTGCCCAATTGAAATACTTTCTTCTGGTATGACTTAGTACCACCACTGGTTCGAGGAATTTGTCAACTCGAAAAATATTCGCGTTCATTTTTTTCAAATGGAGGTTCATTTTCACATTTATTTGATAGTTTGGATAGTCGGATCAAGCTAAATTATATTGAATTGTGTTTGGCCATTCGAATTACGTTTGTCCTGAAAAAATTAGAACTGTAGCTTCTCAGATGACCGAGATATGAAGCATAACGAGTTTATTCATTACGTGTGATCAGGTGATTGGTTTACCTAATCACGTGATAAGGTGACCCCGTTAACTACCCCGTTAAACATTATGGGAATTGTTAAGGGTGCCCAATTAAGGTGTCGTGTCACGGTGTCACATATTATGTGACATAATCACCCAGTCAATTTTGTTAACGAGATACACAAAATGCTTGATAACTTCGTCATTTCTAATCCGTTTTGCCTCATGTTTTCAGATCATATGCAACATTTGATAATCTACCGTCTCTGAAAAAATTAGGCGTTTAGCATGTTCAGAGAAAACAATATAGGTGTTTTAATATTGAATGGGCGTGGTCTAAAATATTCGAATTTTCAAATTTTGACGACGGAATCCTCGAACCAGTAAGTACAGTATGCCATCTGCAAAGCAACAGCTCTCAAATATAAAACACGGCGGAGGTATAAGACCCAACGTTTGCACACTGACTTTTGGCCCACCCTGTATAGCTGTATAATTTACAAAATGTGAATAAAAGTATGATTAACATTTAAATTTTAAACATTCAAAACAAAGGTTTTCTTTGCACAACTTTAATAAAAGTTGAAATAATACCCTAAACAGTGTATAATATTATTAAAATGTTATAGATTTCTCTATCATATTATATTTTCAGAGTCAGCAGAGATTTTAGCTGGATTCGCTCTCATAGCTATACTTATCTGTATTGGGATGAGACTTTACGTCAAAGATAAGCCTGACGAGGACGAAGAAAAGGTGGCATTGATCAAAGGTGGCATTGGTAAAGATGAACTGTTTTAATAATTGACAATATAGATTTAATCTTTTTCAAACAAGTTAAACACTTGAAATGTGTCGACAGACGAATTAATTCGTGAAATATGAAACATAGAATGATGAAAACTAGTGAAAATTGATGTGTTGGCCTTTTTTAAGTACAAAATTTTAAAATACAGATGACTGGTCATCACTATAATTATTATTGATTTTTCTAATAGATATGTGCGATATTCTAGCAATGAGACAATTAATTATTATTAACTGATCATTGATTTCATCTAATTATGAAGAATACCGTTTTTTATAAACATTTAATTATTTGATATAACATGATCATGGTTCCCATGACTCAAACGAAAGATGAAAGGCGTACCTTAAACGACAGAAATGTTATAAAGTGATGAGAGATTCTCTTATATTTTTCAATTATTGTAAAATTTTATTTAAATTAGAGATTTTTTGTTTGCATTCTTTCAAACTTAACTAGTCGGAGACCAACCGCGCCGTTCTAAAAGGCCATCTCGTTAGCTTTTCATGTTAAAAGCGATTTTTCGATGGTTATTATCTCGTGGTCGTAGAAACTATTCCGAAACACCAAAGTGTACCTAATACTATAATACACCTTATGAAGCAACATATACCTTAAAATGCCTATTTTCGGAAATATGGCTAAAAATGGATTTTTGCCAAGCAAACAATGAAAATACGCACAAATTATGGGCTATTGGACTGGTAACTAGAAAGGTCCTAAATATTCATCGCATTACAAGGAGGGAGGGGGGGGGACCCTCGAGTCGAAAATCGTATATATCGAAATTCAAAGGGTAGGTGTGGACTTCGAAAACCGAAAGATTATTTTCGGCTAAATTCGCCAAGACATACCCATCTACATTCAACATTGAAGCAAGCACAAGGTCATGATGGATACTGGGTCGGTATTGCGGCTAGTCTCAAGAGGTACAGTAGCACAATAACTTGATTGGATATTTTGATAAAGGAGTACTTCATAGGTTCATAGGGTGGGTTATATTTAAAGATATAACTATATTGCATATTTTGATAGAGAAGAAGTTTATTGGATACAAAGTCATGACTCATGCTAACAAGATTGCTCCAAAAATCTCGCATGTAACTAAAATAGAGTTACCTAATAACCCGTTGCTCCGTTGCCTGACCAATATATACAAATAATCGTCACTGATTGGATGACAGGATCTCTCTGGTGTTGGATCATGATCAGTATGATTGCCCAAATCCGCCACCGAAGTTAAGCATTGATATGGAAATGAGCGATACATAGTAATTAGTAATATGAGCGATTATTCCAGCGAAATTTAATAATGAGACTTAATTATAACTAACGAAAAAATAGGTATCGAATAACAGGCAAACTAGACCATATTATCGAAGTTCAAATCATAAAACAGAAAAAATGTAAAAACTAAAACATCCCAACAAACAAAAACCGCACAAGTGTCCACCACACAACATGCTGTCAATTAAACACTAACATTGTGAAGTGTCAAATAATGACTAACGTTACAGACGTACACTACACTACACAGTACAGCGAGTAATAACACGGCAGCACACGTTATTCTATGAGAAGGGTCCGAGTCACGAGGCCTCATTACACACAGAGAATTCAGTCACCTGATCAATATTATATAATATTATCATGTAATATATTATATACTTTTAATACTTTCAACACTGCGATATAACAAATAATAGATGGTAGGAAAGACAATAAGCAGATGGTAGGAGAGACAATAATATGTTGCCAATTGCCATGGGGTGTGAGTCCCGCTAGTTTCACTGCCTCTTAATATGCCTCTACTTATACTCTCTGGAGTTGCAGATATCCCGATTGGATAAATGCAGAAAATTAGATAGTTCTGGTAGAATCAGATTAAGGGGGCCGGGGGCAGTATGAGAACATGTCAGGGAGGACAAATCTTCAAATCTTGACTATCTAACTTAACTGACAACTGTTTGAGTTTTACTGGTTTCTTACTACAACCTTTCAAACCAACAGATCAAATGAAAACTGTATCTAACCATCTAAAAATTGCTTTTTGAAGAAGATAATTATATGTCGCAATAGTATCTTAGCTGAATAATCCTAAAATCCAGCCGATAGTCTTTGCACCCTAGAATTAGTGTAGTATCAGATACTGAGCACCATCCCTGGGTGCCTAACACAACCATTACGTCATAATATATTATAAAGATTTTACAATTGCGTCAATTATCTGCAATTAGCAAAAAAAAACATATTATTTACTATTCAGGTTCCTTAGAATATCTGAAATTACTTTTTCCCTTTTTAAAAAATCTGAAATTACTTGGTTACTTTTTCGTTAAAACAGACCCAACAATTTAAACAAACCTTTTTGAGGAAGCTGCTTACAACCATACAACTCCAACCGACTCATTGTATCGTCGAACCCAGAGATAGAGAAATCAGAGAGAAACACACGGGGGGAGTCCACCAGCGCACCTGAAATATTATTTAAACGTAACCGAGAAAACTATACGCTCCGAGTGCAGCAAGGATTTACTTTTTGTTGGAGGCGTTCGGGGTAGCAGTTGCCCGGTCTCCCAATTAAACAGTTGATATCCAGTTAAACGTGGAAAAAAGGGGGGGGGGGGGGGGGGGGGGGGGGGGGCTCCATTACATACCGTGGGCAAACCGAACAACATTCCAGTAAATGTGTAATTCTAATATTATGCGGAAAGAGTATTATACAAAGATAGTGATTAGTTATACGTCTGTTATAGTGATGCATATATAAATCACGTGATGATATCATGTAGCTAGCCGGGTACTCAGCCAGCTATTTGTAAATAAAGGGCACAGGAAAAAAAGGAGTACCAAATCTGACAAACCACACTGGGAACTCACTGAGATTATATATACACAGGAAACGAGGGTAGTACAACAATACAACACTTTGCATCAAGCTAGCTGATAAGTAGCCCAAGCCTCAACATATAATAATACATTTAGTTTAATGACATTTAGTAACTCTTGATAAAAGCAACTCGCTCGGTATACATGATAAAAAGTAGAAACTCTACAATTAGTGAGTCTAATTAAGGTTTTAGGATGATCAACATGAAAAAAGTCCAAAAAGTCAAGCTGAAAGAAAATTATGGCGTAAGATTATTATTGATACTGATAAAAAGCCTCACCTCCAAAAGCCGGAGAATCAGTCCCAACTTTAACCTCAACAAAGTGTTTCTGGCAGGAGTGTTCACTGTTAAGATACCCCCGAACCATCTCGTACAACCTGAACAAAAGATACGCTTGAACTACTTTACGCTCGGCATCATGCTTTTGTTTTTCTGCGTCAGTCTTCTTTTTCAGATACGTTTTTAGTTGTCGTGTTTTTGTAGCCTTGTCATGGTGGTATTTCTGGACAGGAACAACAACTGATGTTTTAGTCTTGGAATGTGTTTTTTGTGATGTTTTTGTCTTGGAATGTGTTTTTTGTGATGTTTTTGTCTTAGGATGTGATTTTTGCGATATTTTTGTCTTGCGATGTGTTTTTTCTGTGTTTTCTTGACGCGCAAGTTGTTGTCGTTGTCCTTCAACTCGTTTTCGTTTCAGTCGACCTAGGTATTTAAGACGACGCTGACGTCTTTCACGAAATCTTTTAAGATATTCACGTCGCTGTTGTCGTCTCTGTTCGAGTCGTCGTAAGTATTCCTCTTTACTCCGCAACATTCCTTTTCGTCTGTGTTTCCTTTCTGTTTTTCCCACGTGTTTTTTATACATTTTACTTTGTATCCGTTTCCTTTCCTTATCATGTTTATGTCCAATGTTATGTCCATTGTTATGTCCATTGGTATGTCTACGCCCGTGTTTGTCTCGTCCAATGTGTAGATATGTAGCCTTGTTTACAGGAGACTTAGTAACAGAACCCTTGGGTGGGGCTACAATCTGATACCGAATGTTTTTCTTTACCTTAACTCTGCTTTTAATATCTGTTTGTGTTAAGCTTTTTTTCTTATGTGTGGGTATTAGTTTGTCTTCATGCTTTACCTGAGTTACTTTTGAGGTGATCTTTAGCGACCTTCCAGGTTTAGCCACTGGCTTATTTTTGGTCTGTTCAGCATGAGGGTTCTCTTCTTGAACATGGTCACGTGGTAAATCGTGGTCATCTCCTTCCTTTTCAGTGGGAGGAGCAGGGGCTGGAGTCTCCGGTTTGGATTTCACGTTCGTCGTTGGAGCAGCGGGGTTGGGTTTTGGTTTCATGTCTGGAGCAGAGGGGTCAGGTTTTGGAGCTGGGGGCTCGGGTTTGGTCGTAACTTTCGTTTTTGAAGTAGAGGTTAGTTCTGTTGAGGATTTGGTGATGAATGTGAGGAGGAGAACGATGAGTAGAAGGGGCCTGATCATATCTACCTAAAATGAAGAAATTGTTATTAGCAAGGTTATTAATTTTCACTATAGATTATTAAATTTTATTGATTCTTGGGCAAATATGTAAAATTTGCAGTCAATACTGGCGTTAACTCTTCAAGATATTTCTAATGAATCAGGAATTTGAAAACTGAAAATACCGGAATAGTCAGACACAAAATTGGTGCAAAATTTTTAAAAAGAATTCAGTCACAAATACAACTCAAAAATATTACAGATACACAGATACATTTTCTTTTTGTAATGATTACAGCGAATGTAATAATAATTTGACCTGCAAACAAGTTAAAACACAAAAAATATTTAGTCTTATCAATGAAACCTGAGATAAATAAAGTTTAAAAAATCGTTCGAACTACAGCACAGAAAGACATTAGATAAATAAATAATTCTAAATAGATATTGTCAATGTTATTTCATAAATTTATATTACTAATTTCCAACAAACAACACGGTGAAGCGATAATCACAGCTTCCAATTATAATACTAATTTATATATCTATTTTCAAGACAGCTATATTACCTGAGTAATTTTTCAAAATAAAATAACTCACAACTAAAGCTCAATTGCGCTATGTGTAAGTATATACATATGATAAAACTTAAGAATATATTTTGTTTAATTGCTGAGCAACTTAAACAGACCAGGGTATGCAAAACAGGATAAGTAAGGTAGATTCTTTTTAAAAAAGGATTAAGTTTCTAAGCATAACTCTACGGTTTGGGACAATAACAGACCATTTCATCATTATTTTAACCCTATAAGTATAAACATATGTTAATATAATAAGTTTTTATAATTTTAAAATATGATTGCTGATATTAACAATGTTCCGCCTCTACTCTTAAGAACTATCACTACTCTTAAGAAGATAAAAGAGTAAAAGACTTGATGAAAACTGTATTTAATATAAGTAAAATATAAAATTAAAAGATACAAGATGCTCTGACACTCTTCTTTTACAGTGCTCTGACACTCGCGAGTGTTATCAGCTGACACCAACAACACTCTGTAAACTGTAATCACGAGGCTCTGTGTAGTACTCACTGTAAACTGTAAAGTACTCACAAGGCTAACCACTAACCAGGTGGTTGGTTGCCAGTACATTTCATTAGAGTAGTTTTTCTTCGAGCAATTAACCACTTATCTGTGTAATTATCCGAGCAATTAACCACTTATCAGAGTAATTATCAAATCAACTTATCAACTAGCTAACTAGTCACACAGTCTAGTAGGAGTGTTTGTAGGATTTGTATAAAATTTCATCTTCCTCGTCGTCCTCATCTGGAGTGAAGAGTTTCTCAAAACCATCATTTGGTCGCTTGTAGTACGACCTTCTGAATAAGTTGTAAAGTTGATCAGTTAAATGGATTGTTAAATAATTAAATAATAAATATTTAACAAGTTTAATAATTAGTTAACTCTAGACCAATAACACGTCAAATAACAGCTCATTAGGCTACAATATACAATATACATAGGTTATCGTGTCAGAAACGTAGGATTAATCAAGTCAAGTAATCATTATAAATTGATTTTTCATTAGCTGTAGCATTATTCATTTCATTTTCAAAACAACAAATCCAATATCCCCTTCCGTGCAGACTATTTACAATAAAATTTTACTTAAAACGTCAATATATGTTCATTTTTACATTCATTGCACGCCACAAAACATCATATAAAACACCATAAGTTACCTGGGACAGAAGTAAGACTTGCAGCAGTAGGCGAGTGGACAGCACACAAGAATGACAAGAACGCAGACAAGCAGGAATACCATGGTGTGTCCGTTAGAGAGGTAGTACTTGTACCAGGGTGCCTGTAAATAAATAAATAAATAAATAAATAAATAAATAAATAGATAAATAAATAAATAAATAAACAAATAAATAAACAAATAAATAAACAAATAAACAAATAAATAAATAAATAAATAAATAAATAAATAAATAAATAAATAAATAAATAAATAAATAAATAAATAAATAAATAAATAAATAAATAAATAAATAAATAAATAAATAAATAAATAAATAAATAAATAAATAAATAAATAAATAAATAAATAAATAAATAAATAAATAAATAAATAAATAAATAAATAAATAAATAAATAAATAAATAAATTCAAACTTTATGCAGCAATTTATCGATAAATAGTTGTGTCGATTATAGATGACGCTGCCGGGGGGGGGGGGGGGGGGGAGCGGGGCGAATTGAAAAATAAATATTCCTGTCAATATTAGGACGCAATAAAACTACCGGACCACGATGTACGGGGAGTGGGGACTTGCCACCCCATGACAACATTAAAATATATCGACTTTGTTACATCGTTTCCTGTTAATATACAACTCCGTTACAAATTGAATCTGGCAATACTACACCTTAGTTCAATAAAATATGATAAAGTAATGTATAGCTAGACTTAAGTTAAAGTCTGAAAGGATATAGAAAACAAAATAGTATACTGCTAGAAAGCTAAGTAATAAACTGTGAAAGAGTATGTAGCTGAGATAAAGCTGTAATGTGCCTGTGGAATGTGTATTGTGTATTGAGATTGGGGGACAGGCAGTTTCTTACATTTTACCATTGTTAAATAGCATTGTGACATAACATTGGATCTTAAGAAGAGGAGGTTTGAGGGTTAAAAAGAGTGCCGGGAAATTTCATAATCATAAAAATACTTCATTGAAATGATTGGATCTGGTGATTGAGACACAGCTCAAGGTTATGCCATTTTCAAAACTTGGTATTTAAATATAGATGTATAAGGTTCTGGAAACATCTGTAAGACGTCAATTTGCTTGGAATCTTTCGTGATCATGCTCACTAGACATAATCTTACACAATTCAGGGATGTTCAAAATTACAAAATTTTAATTCTGGGATCAGTGGTAACTGGTAATATGCACCAAAATCCTGTAATGATATAAGTAGTCATTGAAGTCGTAATTAAACACCGATAAATCGTATTATACATAATTATATATATATGTACTGTATGGAAATAAAGCTTCCAGAAGCTGCAGTAGAACTTCCAAATGTTCTAAATGATGGAAACCATTCACAAGCTTCTAGAAGCTTTAGAACTTCCAAATGTTCTAAATGGTGGAAACCATTCACAACATTTGGAAGCAGAGCTTCTAAACATCGCCTCCCCGATTGAAATCGTTATCATGCTCTCAAGGCTCAGCTCTATTAAGCAATGTCTCATTATAAACAACTCATGTCTCATTTAGTAAACCAATCCATAATCATTTTTTAATATTATTAATTATATTAATAATTCATAATGTTACCTTTTCCTGAGGGATTGTGAACTGTTGCTTGTTTGTACACATACTCTCCACTGAGTTTATCTTCTCGCTATCTGAAAACATTTTAAATTGTCAGCTACTTTTAAAATTTTGATGGTTTATTGTCGAAGAAAACATTTAGACATTCAACTGGAGAAGGTACAGAGAGTGTTGTATTAATGTGAGTCATGTTTAGTTCCAGCTGAGACTCTGATAGAGAGAACTATCTCTTTAAGTCACGTGTCAAGACACGTGCCAAGTCACTTGTCACGTGTCAAGTGTAAGTCACGTGTTAAAGTAGATCCCATTTTATTGTGATCTACAGTACAATACATGCTAAAGACACTAGAGAGTATATTGTTGTAACCTGAATTATACCCTGTACCTTATGTACATTAGAACATCTTGTATAATGACGGGGAATAACAATGTATTCAATGGGACATGGGTCATGGGACAGTCACGAGAAAAGGACAATTATATAGTCAAAGACACACACACACACATTTCATGAGGTGTAACAATACACCAAAACACAATAGAAGTTGAACACAATGCCAAACATCGCTACTGTGCTGTGTGTTCAATGTACTGCAGAATTAAGCGAGCCTTACCGTGGAGAATTGTGATTAAGAGCGAGTAGAAAAAGGGACAAGTGCAGTAATGATTAACCAGTGTATGGTGTGTTATGCGATAAATTGTACAACATACGTATATAATATAGAGTGTAGTTCACTAGTGTGTATAGTGTAATGTATAGTGCAATGTATAGTGTAATGTATAGTGTAATGTATAGTGTAATGTATAATGTAATGTATAGTGTATATATAGTGTAATGTATAGTTCACACGAAAGAATTGGTACCCGTACATTATTGTATATTATATAGTGATATTTTTTAGATTTAAATGTATTTCATACACCCCAGATATTGCATCATCGAATGGTATTCGCTGACACAAGACTATATTCCAAATGTCAATTTTCCTAAGGCTGCTACATTAAATAAAGAAGTCAATGTAGCGTGTACTTTTAAACTAATTACAACACTACAAATCTACTACATTTATTGAGTATCATGTATCGTGATGGAAATATTTTAAGCGGGTAATATTCTGTTCAAACCCAGGATACATAACATGAAGACTTAAGACTTTGTTGTAACTTGTATGAAAAGCATTAATACAAAGGAGAATAACACCAAATGAGTTTTAAGTAATTTGAAATGGCTGCTGTAATACCGTGTAAAGAGAATGTAGAACGCTTAATACGTGACTGTTGAGGCGTGTAATTACTAATTAGTTGTAATTAGTTAATTGGATGACGTCTGCTGAGATCTGAGGATGCCTCAACATCTCCTTCAAATGAATATTGAGAGAAAACATCAAAAGATGTGAAGTGTAGTAGTGTGCAGTGTATAATATTCAACATGACAACACACTTTCACGTATATTAGAGCTTTTCATCTAGAAGTGAAATAAATTGTACAATCTACATCTTATTGAGCGAAGGTGTGAAGTGTGAACTGGTTTCACATGGCTACACCTGGCTACACCTGGCTAATAAAACATTTCCATCCAATTAAATGATACTCAATAAATGTATCTATTTGAAGTTGTGAAAATAGTTTCACACAATTGCACACAATATAGCACAGTTTCACACAATTGCACACAATATATCACATACACTTACCGATGTAGTACATGAGGTAAAGATTACACATCTCATCTAGATGTGTGTTCCCGATAACTATCGTCTTGTTGGCTCTTGTCGTGTCGTACTCACACCTGAATAAAAATAAGTCATTATCTAGCCGGGTGACGTCATTATCTAGCCAGGTGACGTCATTACCTAGCCGGGTGACGTCATTATCTAGCCAGGTGACGTCATTATCTAGCCGGGTGACGTCATAATCTAGGCGGGCGACGTCATTATCTAGCCGGGTGACGTCATTATCTAGCCAGGTGACGTCATTATCTAGCCGGGTGACGTCATTATCTAGCCGGGTGACGTCATTATCTAGCCGGGTGACGTCATCATCTGGCCTCCTGACATCATCAGTGTGTCACGTGATATTAATCTACCCACGGTATGTCAGATATATAAACTCGTTAAGTCTACAGGACATTGCACAATTTGAACCATGCGTTGCGCAACCGACATCGTGGGTTCTAGAATCGTAAGTTCTTGAATGTGTCTCTTGCTATTCAGTATTTTCTCGAACAAAACCAGTAAGAGGTGTGGCAAATGTCATGATAATTACGTGAGCATATAAGCCAATTTATAGGTACCATAATTTCTGGTGTCACAATCACTCGTATTTACTCGAATTGAATTGGATACGAGATTGGGGACGCGTTCTATAAACAAACAAACGTAATATATAAGCCAATTGTCTATCTTAAGGTATGGCACCAGTTTGTCGGGCACGTGGTAACCGAGTGCCGCAGTCACGAGGTACAGTCACTTGATAGATAACGTGACATATATTAGCCAGCGAGAAGGGCTGGATTTCATGCTCAAGCGCTGGATGCTCAAGCAAAATTAGATTCACAATTCACATTCTTATAGTTTGAGAGAACAGCAAGGGTTTAGTCAAGTTTGAAATTTTTTTTAAATTAAAAAATCTTGGTAGGAAAATGTTCCCAAGACTGTTGTCTTGTGCTGTATCATAAAGTCATAAGCAATTTATAGAACTCCGTCGGCAATCGTTTGGTCAGGAGTTCTATAACTTACCATGTATGCTTTCAGTTATCTAATTGAATATCTAAATAGAAATTATAGAATGGTGACCTATAAATTATAATAATGATGAAATGGTTTGTTGCGATACCTTGATCCAAATAAAGAGTTACCATGCATGTGTCCAATTCTCTTACGAAACAGATAAAATACGCACGTTCCTCTACGATTAAAATTGACAACTTTAACTAGGCTACTAAAGTTAATAAAGTTATTCAGTTACTAAAGTTACTAAAGTTACTAAAGTTACTAAAGTTATTCAGTTACTAAAGTTACTAAAGTTATTAAAGTTACTAAAGTTACTAAAGTTACTAAAGTTACTAAAGTTACTAAAGTTACTAAAGTTACTAAAGTTACTAAAGTTACCACAATGAAGATTACAATTATAATCTCACCTAGCGTACAACTTATCCCCCGGTTTAACGGCGAGTACACTTTCCATCCTGACAAACATCTCAGCTTTGCGGGGGTCACGTGACCCAATGACTGACCACGTGGAGTTGTGTACCATGTACCCGGAGATCTGGGGTATTTTCAGGTATTAGATAAGATCTGGGGTATTATCAGATATAAGATAAGATCTGGGGAATTATCAAATATCAGATAAGAATTAATATGTTGATATAAAATATTAATATGTAGATTGTTTTACAGCCAAACTTTCATCGGCTCTCAGATGAATTCTTCAGTTATCGACTCAATCATATACTCAACTTCCACGTTCACATAAATCCACATACCAAGGGATTTCATCGGGCGCTGCAGCGCGCTGGTCGACTCTAGAGAATAGGGATCACCTATCAAATGTCAGATTCACAAAAATTTCCCCAAAACTCACAAGCTTAGCGTAGTTATGAGCGTGGGTCCGGTACGCGAACACGTTCATCTCAGGGGAGGTGTAGTTACAGGACAGGTCCAGGTGTATGTCCTTCTTCTTGGGGGGAAATGATCCGTCCTCCGCCATGAACAGGTATATTCCTGCGAGATACACAGATATTGGTCAAGTGATACTTATTTAACTTATGTTATATAGCTTATATAAGTTATTTAACTTATGTTATATAACTTTATTGTATAATAATATCATCTTATTAACATGTTATCTTACTCATCCAAGAGAATGCTAATATAGCAGCTTGTAAACATCGACCAGTCCGCTATTTTGGCCGGGACCGGAACTGGAAAAAGTGCCATGTCCGGGACTTAAACCGGGACCGAAATGTTTGACTTTTTCCAACTTTTTATAAATACAAACTATTAGTTTAGTGAGGTTTAAGTATGTTAACTTATATTAATGTTTGCTTACCAGCTTGGTATTTAGTTTTATCTGTGCTGTACAGAATGTCGACCCCAGATGTGTCTTTGTAATCTTCAGGCTGAGCCAGCTACAAAGTAAACACATAACGCAACAAGCACGAAGATCATAATATTTGAATAAGATAGAGTTGAAGTGACATTTTAACGGTTAAAACGCACAGTTGAGGTTGCGGAAAGATCTTGATAATTTCTGATGCCTTACAACAATTAAGATTACAAACTACTTACCTTGTAATGAAGTTCCATGACGAGGTATTTGATGTCAGTATTTCCTACTTCCATAGACACATTAGCAGGCATGTCAAACTCAGGAGCATCTACAGCCCACGACCACAGGATCTTAGGTTCCTCCTCACAGGCCGCTCCTCCGATCCAAACTTTAGTATCTGAATAATATAGTTGATAGTTTAATAGTACTATGTATAACTTTAGTATCTGAACAAGCACGGGGTTGTATAAACGTAAAATAAAATGTTGGAACTGAGCCCTATCTCACTGTAGATACGACTAACTAGGTTTTACTCGCTCCAACATAATTAGATGTTATGTAAAGTTCTACATCTACTACACAGTACACACTGCTCACAATTTGGTGTGCATAGTAACACACAGTGAGTTAACTAACCTCTGGCTTTAACACTCCGGCACCCATAAAGTAGCATGTGATGAACCACTCCCGAATGAGCCTCGGGTCTGTAACCAGTGATGTAGATAGTACTGGTTAGCTCTGTCTGCATGTGGTAGTAGGTGTCGTTGTGGGGGATGGTAACTCCTAGGGTGTGGAGTTAGGTGGTTAATTAATTAATTAATTAATTAATTAATATGGTGTGATACTGTTAAAATTAATAAACGTTGTAAAAGTTGTCGAATTTTTAAGCATGATTCCAAACATCCAAAGAATGATGATTAATATGTAGTATTTAAATGTAATTTAATTAATTAATTTGTAATGTAATTTAATTAATTAATTTGTAATGTAATTTAATTAATACCTGGCATTCTGAGCTCCATGACATTTTCACAAAGTGCATACTGTAACAACACCAGGAATACGAGCCACATTGTATTTATTGTCCGTCTTCTTGCTTGCAGGTCTATCTCATCTATATTAAGAATAATTATTATATATTATATACTTTGATTTTTAAACTAATACAATAATATTGAGTCAGGAATGTAACATATAATACAAAGAAATTTCCTATCCTCCAGGAGAATGAATCAATGCAAATGAAACAAGGTATAATTTTTTATAAACATTAGAAGAAAAAAAAGTCATAAAGAATCATTCTGTAATATTGAAAATCAGCTTTAACAATTAATTCGAATTTTGTATGCATTTTTATACAATATAATCATACAATTATTCGCATAACGTAATCGGATACCAATTAACAGTTCAAAACACCACATCAACTGCGGTACTAAAAATATTCAAAATGATTGTACTATTGCAACCAAAAATTAAAATACGACATATTGGATAAAAACCTAAAAAGCATAGAGATAAATGGTTAAGATAAACATAGAAAAATACAATATTTGACTTTCTCAGCTTGGGAGAATTCGTCAATAGTAATCTCAATCTGCCCAGAAATTAAAATACGACATATTGGATAAAAACCTAAAAAGCATAAAGATACATGGTTAGATGAACACAGAAAAATACAATATTTAACTCTTTCCTCAGTTTAGGAAAATTTTTCAATAGTAATCTCAATCAGCCCAGCTTTAAAAAAACATTTCATGCTAATTTGTAGACTGCTAAGTGTTTATTTTAAACCAAACAGTATTTTAATAAACAGTGTTTGGTTTTGCAGTATACCATAAAATTGCTGACCTTGCTTCAGTTAGACCCAAAGCTGTAGTACACAATGAACGCAATATAAGCATTATCAGGTATGCTTTCATTACACCACACCACATGATTCTTACAAAATATTGGTCTTCTCTGCCAGGTGACATGACGCGTATAACTTCTTGCTGAATCCATCACAGATTTTCCTTTTGTGCTGAAATCCCGCCTGAGCACAAAATGCATGTCATCAGAGTTCAGCAGCTCAGGATGGCAATGGATGTCCGCAGAATAGTCTTCTGGTCTTGTTGATAGACGTATTTCGAAGGTTTTGGAGATAGGGACAACACACAGAACAAAACCACACCGACCAGGTTCAAGACAGTCTCCTGTAGCTGTAGCAGGATGCTTCCAGAAAAACTTGTATTTCTTTATGCCTCCCATGATTAACTCCCCCATTCTAACGGTATCATATTCGTTGTATTTGCGAGTTCTGAGTGTGGACCTGGCACCTCTCCAAGAAATAATTTCCACAGCATTTTGTGTTGAGATCAGATCGTCATTTTCAGAAATCAACGTCAATAAATTCTTCATTGGACCTGCCATCAACTTTGTCAGGATGTCTTTTACAAATTCCAGTGATATTTTTTTCCAGCCATGTCGCTCTTTGATATTCAGAATGTTGTTAACAACTTGGACCATTTCCACATTAGACACGGAGGACTCTGAAAAGCCCACAGCCTTTATGATGAAGATATACTCGACGAACATGTACATATTTCTAAACGAGAAGTCAGACGTCATGAAGAATCTCAAAACATCATGGAGCGTGTATGAAGAATGGGACCTGAAGATGCCGGATGAGTTCCTATTTGCAGTCTGGAATGTTTTCAACTTGTCTGGGTAGGAGAAAACAATGTTAGGTATTTTATCAGTATCTTCTAACAGTTGCAAGGAAGCGTTATCATCTGAATCATCCGAGTTATCTGAGTAATAATGCAAATCTAGCCTTGGTCTTTGAACGTTAACTCTTATGTTAATGCCTGAAGCTGGTCTCTTTCGTACTATCCTTGAATTATAAATTGAGAAGATACGCTCACAGTAATCTCGTGTGCGGGTAGAGCTGGTTGCCGGAAAGGTGTTAATATAATTACCCACAGGTACTGGTAATGGAGTAAGCCTCCTTTTCTTGTTAATGAAAACTTCTCTAAGATCAGGTCTAACACGAAAGACTTTAGTGGTTGAGTTTTCTTCAAGTCGTCTGAGCTCATTAACTTGGTCAGGTGTCAAATTCCGGTACTTATCCTTGTTGACGAAGACATCAAGATAGCTATCCATGTCCAATTTCAGACACTGTGCTAGATCAATACTTCCCAGGAGGTGTCTTGACCCCATGTCCAGTGAGGTATACTTGTCCCTTTTGACCTTTTTAAGGACGAACTTTAACAAAAGATCTACGTTTTCTCCTGCAAAATCAACCAGAAGATTAATCTGGTTTGTACTAAGAATGACAGTGTCATTGTTAGAAATGCATATATGTAACGCTTGAAAAATTTTTGTTTCACTGTCTTAGTGTTGTACAAACTGTTGAGCTTGTGTGTGGCCATTGCCATGTACTCGTGTCGTCTTTTGTTTGTCTTGAAATAGTTGGCTTCTTCAAAGATATATTTCATATTTGCAAAAGTTGGTTTATTGCTCATTCTTTCTTCTATTAAATATATGAGATGTGAATCCAATTGCTTGAGAAGCCACTTTACATTGAAATTGTCGGCAAGTTGCCACATTTCTCTCATGAAAGGAAGACTCACAAAATCAAGCTTTCCTGAATAAAGTGTCTTCACAAATGTGTCCACTACATGCCTGGTAAACTCTGTAAGGTCAATTGTTTCACAAAGTTCGTCTTCCTTGAACTTAGTCTCAAAAACTCTGCTATTATATGCCAGAATTTGGGAATTTGCTTTGACAGATCGTCCATTAGCCGCAAGCAATGCCACATTGATATGTTTGGAAATAGCCAAGTTTTTCACCCCAAAGTCCATGGGAACGGCAACTTGTTTCACTTTCATTATCCACTCCTCTAATGATTCACAGTGGCTTTAACACCCCTCTTAGTTTAAATGAGGGTAATGTACTTGTCCTCGATGATACAGAAATAGTTTAGAAGACTCAGTCATTCTCATATAACCGAGGCTAAGGGAAATTATGTGGTTATTTCAAAAGTAGAAGCATAAAATACCATAAAATCATGCAAAACAAAAAGGGAGATCATCATCATTTAACTAATTGCAAAGCATTTAGAATGTAGAGCAAAAAGTCACAAACAATGTATAAAGTGCAACCCTGGAAGGTTGAGTAGGTGGAGACTTTACTCACACCTCATCTTTCATTCATACTGCACTGATCCTACTTCTCTGAGAACTTAGCTTTTCCTATACCTTTTGAATCTTTTCGTTGATTTGCTGCAGTCGCTTCAATTTCAAACAACACTGATATCATAAAACGGACATAACAACAATTTTAGATGAACACTTCTGAACCTAATTGCAAGCTAATAAGTACAACAATGTAGAACCTAATTGCACGGTGGTAAGTACAATATGTATTATCTTGAGCCCGTATTAGGTATAATGACCACTTAGTTGCGAGCAGAATGTCATTAACTAGCAGGTGGTAACATCATAGGTAACTCATTAAACATAACCTTTATAGTTATACACCTGTTTCTATTGAACTGTAACTTGAACAAGAGCCGCTGCTAACTGAGTAATTTAATCCCAATTAAGAAGCATATTTACTACCAGAACATGAATATTTTTTACTGTATCAACAAGTACAAAGCCTGCTTAAACTAGACCGATCCCACACACACACACACACACACACACACACACACAAACGTGTATGTATATATTAATAAGTTCTGGTAATCATTTGATTGCAGATAATGAGTCCGAGTGGGCTTAGGCTTCCCGTGCCTTATTTCCTTCTATTATATCGTACTCCTAGTCCAGCATTAGCCCTCTCCTCAACTATGTTCGGTTATAATTACTTTCCTGAGTTACACATCGCTAATCTGTATTGGTTTGCTGTCCCTGCTTCGCTCGGGAAATGCTTTGCTTGGTTGCATTACAGATATTGCTATGTATAGTATATATCCGTTACAGTGTTAGAAATATAGTTTCTACTGCATGTTCTGTGTCTAACTGTAATATTCTACTTCTCCTAAAGAGGAGAATTGTAGGTATCGGATATTATATAATAATCAGTTGACAGTGATGAGTATGAGACAGTATGACGTCTAAAGACAAGACCAAGATACTTTCCTCCTTTGAATTTGAAAAGGACCCTTCTGATGATGAACTGCCACTCCCCAAAATACCAAGGAACAAAGGTGAAGGATTGCTGTTTTAGTTATTATCCGTGCATTATGTTTCTTGATTATAATTCAACCACTGTTAAATATCTAGCTACATCGTTGTATCAGCTTCAGCGCAAGGTATTAATTATAATTATAGTTAGAATTGGAATTAAAAAGCTATTTCTTGATTAGTTGGTTGTCACTCCCCACATGGTATCTCAATTACAACAGTAAACTGTGTCTAAGTCTAATCGGCTGTTCTTTTTACAAAGCTAACATAGCTAACATTATAAAAGTATCATCTTTTCAAAACTTGTATGCCCTCCAGTTACTCATTTATGCACAATGTTACACTACCATTTACTTCCAGGAACACCGTTGTTTGAAGAAGAATCTGAACATACTTCTCTTCTTTACAACCCAAAGGAAAAGCATGGTCTTGTCAACGAAAGTTCAGTAACAACCACAGGAACTGGAACAAATAACAGTAAAATAATCCTGCAAGAGTATGATTATGATCAATCAGAGGCTAAGACATATACAGAACCATCAACCAACATCTGTCTCGCTATTTGCTCCACTTTCTTCTGTTTTGTGGTGGGAATGTTTGCAATTAGTCATTCTGTGCAGGCCCATTATTACAAGGAGGTAAGGATTCAGTTAGTTCATGCCAGTATCTGAGTATCTAATTCTAATATCCAAATTTTTATTTTATATATCTGTATTTTCTTAATAATTTGCACTTACTGAGGGGAGGATTTTATGGGCCAGATTTTGGAAAAATTTTCATAGACATATAAAGCAACCACCTTCGGCACGGAGATCATACCCTCAAAACTTTCTCAAACACACTGTACTTCTGTAGCTATGATATAAAACAAGAAACATAAGTATATAGTATAATATATTGAATTTATAATCCTAACATTTATTTATTCCAGGCTGGACTACTCTCTTTGGCTGATGCACACGGGTCCAAAGCAGCGCACTTGGCTGTGGTAGCAATTATAATGGGACTTATCATTATTATGTGGGTCACTATACTCAGAATAATGTTAATTTCTGCTGATTCAGTTTGAACTTCAACTTTGTCATTTATTATATATTTACTGTTACTGTCCTATTAGCGTTATATCGAGTTCACTGTGTGCTAGTAACTTGAAGAAGAATTAGAATTTTTATGTATATTTTAAGTTTTAAAACTTTGAAATCTTCAATCTTATGACAATTGGTAGGATGTTAACTAGTAACTACTATGATGTTTGAAATAAGTTTTTACAAAAATTACATATGAAAACTAGTTAATTTAAATAGTTATTGTCAACTTAAAATCTTGTTCCTTAACTTTTTAACTAGGTATAGTGTCTAAAAATAAATCAATGTTTAAGTAAGAAAAGCTCTGAAAATTTACAGTAAATGATAGCAAAAGCTGACAATAATTGCTGAACTGTAATTATGATCAAGCTATATGTACACAATACAAAAATTGTAAGTTTCCATAATATTAGCTGTAGAATGTAGATCAGTGGTAAATAGTAGAAATATTATATAGTGTGGATATATTTCAGGATGTTATTAACAGGTCATAATACACAATCCCAGGACTAGGACAGGAGTATATATGATATATCATATATAATATATATTTAGACAAATATGTATATTGTATAAGATGCTCTCCGTGCAACTTTTACTACTATGCCTTTTGGCAGACTTTCTTTTTCTATATTTACATAAGAAATTCTTCATTCTCCGATTATATGGACAAGCTTCTCATCTAAAAATTGGTTAAAGGGGGAACCCCTGACCCATGTAGCTGAGACAGCTCACAGCAAGTAGACCAAAGAAGCTCTTGCTTGTAAAAGGTGCATCAAATACCGCCGAAGTGGTGGGTTCGGAGTCATGGAAGAGGTAGAAGGATATGTTTTGCAGTCCGGGATACAGAGCTGTTGATCTTCCTCTGATTCCCCTCAGTGCAATGAGTGTGCTCCAAGCTGCTCATACCTTCTTGTTTTCACATCATTATTGATGTGAGAATTTTTCCTCATTCGCACAGGCTATCTCCATTTGCGTTATCATTATAATTTTTATTTTTTTATAACAAATTATCGTTAGTACCCTAACATTATTTCTAACGATAACTTATAAACGCTGTAATGTAGAATCATTATCAGCAAGAGTGGACAGAAATCGATGAATGTTGGGTCATGTTTTGCGTGGTCCATCTTATAATAGCTCACTTGCATTTGCTATTAACACTCTGCAGTACCCAGGGCGAGTTGGACGACCGCAAACTAACCTGTTTCTGTTGATTAAGTGTGATTTAAGTGACCATAATATTTTCTTAAATAATTTACGTAAGTGATCTTTCATATTTAAGAAACTTAGCGTTGAACAAAGTTTTTTGGAGAGGATAGTTAATAGTAGTTAATAGATAGTTAAGGCCAGATATCCTTATATATGGTGCAGCGATTTTTTTTATTTGACTCGGTTCTCGCATTATGAGGTTAACCATGTCAAAAATTCGGAAAATTTAATTGGTTAACCTCATAAATCGAGAAACGAGTCGAATAAAAAAAATCGCTGCACCTAATATCTAGATACTTGTCCAAGGAACCACTGTACCAAATCTCAATATCAGGGGGTGGCTGGTTTTCTCAACTAAGGAACTGAAAGTCACAAAATGTGTTTTGAGATAGATGCAATTTAGTGTTTTCAAAATTTTGAATATTCACTGGAATGTATCGCAGTTCGTTAGTTAGGACTTTCTATACACTTAACAACGTTTGCTTGATCAGACCTAGCCACCCCCTTAATGATTTTAGCCACTTTCAGTAGTTAATGTCCTTGTATTGTAGAAAATGAGGTTAACTAAGACTTCCTGTAAACACTTACTGCTTAAAAGTAGTAAAAAATTGGTTGTTAACCTCGCTTTAGACCATATAACACTGGGATTGGTTTATTAATATGTTATTATATACGTAGTAAAACATTTCCACAGTGTAACGATTAATTTTTTGAGGTTAACATGTATTTGACTGGTCAGATATTCAAAAAATTAAAGGTTAACCTCATTTTTTAGCCATTTACGGATAAAATCTTCTACTAAAATATGGTCAGTTCAAATCACCTTTGTCACGTGATTATAGTTGTAGGCATTGTGATACCAATAGATACCTCACTGCGATATTGTGGTATGTATTACATAAGTAAGAATCGTATGTATATTCCCTACGGTACCAAAATGTGATGGTTAACCTCATTTTTTCATTTTCCCAAGATAAAAGAAAGTCAATCAACACGTCATCGGCCCCAACGTTAATGTGGCTCTTGCTATGTGTTGGTTCAGCCGAATTAATTATTATATAATCAAGTTTATTTTTCCGTTAGTTGTCATCCGGCCAAACATTAAGCAACTTATATTGCAGTACCATTTATCATTTAGTATATCAAAATATGTCATTGTAATTTTGCATGGCTGAAATGTAACGCTTGATTTATATATATATAATGATTAATTGAATTTTCAAATAAAATAAAAAAATTTAGAAATATGAATACCGTAAACTAACGATAAAAATAATAGCTCTATCATTTGATCTATTTTGCTATATCTAAAAAAGAGGTTAACCTCATTTAATCACGTTTGGAAATTACTTTTTCTGATAATTATGAACCTAAAATTTAGAGTTAACATTTGCTGACCGAAATAACAAAAAATTATGGAGTGTAATAAAATATTAACCTCAATTTTATTAACCTCAATGTTGTATAGTCAATTTTGTGAAAATCGGTTAAACTCAATTATTAAAAAAAGTTATATATATTAAGCAGCTACAAATATGTGAATAGCAGCAATGTTTTTGTCATCAAAAATTGTATTGAATTTTGTACACACCAGAACGCTAGTCTGGTTGATTAGTGACCAAATTAGAGGCGTTGATAGGAAGGCATTATAATTTGTGGGTGTAAGAGGGAATATTTGGCATGCATTATTCTAGCAGCTATTTTGTAACAAATGGTCTTTACGATTATTAAGGACGGTAAGTATTTTGGGTGTTCAATACTAAATCATGGCTAAATGTCTAAGTGGGGGTTTAAATTTAAGGGAGAAAAAGAAATGAATATTGGGTTATAATATTAATCATAGAAGTCAACCCTGATATAACTATTGTACTAAAAATTTGATCATAATGCTTAGGGTCTTTATTAGAATTCAAATTGGATACAAAAATAGGATCTCTTTACACTACACTTACTCACTCACACATCACATTTAACTTGACAGAGGAATACGCTGGCAGAGTAAGTCGATTTTGTCATGAAATTTTGGAGGTCAGGTGGAATCCCTGCAGGAGCCTACGAAAATTTAAGGTTACAAATATCAAAGTCTTTATTTGTCCAGTCATACACGGCATGACAATGCTGGTTGGAAAGTAGTGAAGATTTCAGTTTGGATTTCAGGCAAGAAATACTAACAGAACAATCAAAGATTTTAAGGTTAGGGGTTATTATATTCCATATTTTCGTTGACCTCGTGTTATGGTTGTCTGGGGGATCCGGTTTATTGATAATAAGCATTGGTTTCCTGGAAGAACGAGAATACTCTTCGTACATAGACATAGGAGTAGAAAACTTCATGATCTTGAATAATTCTATGTAGCTATGGTAAGTATAAAGATTTTGTACAGTGAGTATCTCGTTGTTTTTAAACAGAGGTTTAGTGTGCTCCTTTTTATAAAATTTACTATCAAGTTTCTGGTCAGTAAATGGTCTGGTTCGAACACACGTTTTGAATTTATCCAGGTAGGCTGCTCTATCACCAAACAAGACCCTCAGACAGTACTTCTGTGCAGTGAATATTGAGCTTATACGATTTTTAGCTGCCCCACCCCATGCTGATATGCAGTACGACAGATGGGATTCAAAAAGAGTGTAGTATAACTGTCTGTGGAGAAATTCTGGGAGGGAGCAGCGTAGACGACACAGAGTTGAGGTGGCATGGTTAAGCTTTCGTTTTAGGGCTATTATATGTTCTTCCCATGTTAGATTTTCGTCAATGACGACTCCTAAAAATCTAGCTGACGTTACTCTTTTGATGGGGTAGTTGTCTATATTCATTATGAATTCTTCTTCAACGTTTGCTTCAGTACGTGACTTAGGTCTAAAGTGAATGTAGCAGCATTTTGACAGTATGCACTGAAGGGGTATCCTAGAACTTTTAACAGGTAGTTAAATACCTGAGAGTTAAAGTTATACTCCCTTCTCTCACAAAAAAGCATCAGCCGCTGCACGCTCCACCTACAACCACTCATTCGCAGTGAGAGCTGGAAGACTCCGGAATTTTCTTCCCAAAATTGTCAATACTCTTGAAAAAGACTTTGGCAAGCTTCAAGACATCTCTTGGAAACTTCCTAGACACCCTTCCAGATAAGCCCCCTACTCCTGGATACAGTGCAGAAAACTCTAACTCGATAATAGACTGGTGCAGTCAAGGAGGTGGTCTGCAGATTGTGTGATGGCCGTGAAGATGCCTATTTCTAAACCTCTCAATAGGCTCAATAGGTAGGTACCCCTTCTCATTTAACCCTCATTTAAGTTTCCTATCGTTCAGCTGAATCGACCGAGGAGATTGTATTGATCCAATGGATCCTTAGCTAATCCCTAGACTAGGTGATACTGGGATTCGAATCCTGAACCTTCTGCACAGAAGACGGATGCTCTAATCACTAGGCCACCTAGTCCCTATCCCCTCTCCTAACTATGTAAACACAGAGAAAGCTTTTAGTCACTGTGCAGTTAAAGTATTTAATACCTTGCCATACGACATAAGATCAGCTGAGTCAGTTACATCTTTCAAGACCAAACTTAAAACATACTTCTTTTCTCTAGCATTTGATTGATTTTGCATTTACATAGGTAAAATGAACTTGTCATCAGCAATAGCAGCAAATCTGGGGAAACTTTGAAATACACCAATTTGAAGCATTTAACCCCCCCTTAAAAATCAAAGATTATGAATTTTAGTAATCTGATTATTTACATAGGTCCAAAAATGTCATAGCTTCATGATAGTGCAACGAAAAAAATCTCAGAACATTTTGGTGCTGAGTTAGATGGTTAAGTAGTCGAAAAATGACTGATTTGTTAGTGGACATTTTTTATACCTCTAACACCCAAACCCTTACTACAGTGAAGATATAAGTACTACAGTTAATATTGATGGTCATTATTGAACAAAAATGGTTCATTGACACATAGTTGAAGAAGGAAATTAAAAAAATTAATAAATGTGGTCTGTGGAGTGGTTTATTTGTTTATGTTATAGTGTACGCGTGCGCGCGCTAGCGCGTACTTAACCATCTGTAGGCCAACATATTTAGTCTAGGCTTAAATTCTTTATATATTATGTCACCACTATGGTGCCCAATACTTTTAGTGAAGGTTTGATGTAGAACAGTTAACCACCAACTGTGGTATATCAAAAAAACCATGTTTGTACGCGTGCGCGC